AAATTCCGTTAACAGATAAATCACAGATGGTGATTTTTTGCCCATCTCTAGAACCAAATGTCTAATTTTTGCCTGTATAACTGTTATTATAGACATTGGACAAGCCATGTACCATTTAATTAAATTATTGTTTAATTTGGTCCAGTCCCATAATTTTGCATGGGTAGCTGTTCATCGTCCCGCACTATATATGTCTGCGAATGAGTCTGGTTACTTGGTTGTCTGCCTCCTCCCGGGGACAGGATTTATAGTCGCGGTTTTCAAAGCGACCATGACCAGCAAAATACGAGAGAGATGGACGCTGAAATACCACGATGCTGACCGACGCATGCATCTGGCAGATTTATTGCCAGCGCCGGATTATGTCGTCTTCGAGTTAAAAACTTTTTTATTTTTATTTTCCCACGTCATTGGATTACCAGTCATTTAGGTGTGTGATTAAAGGTGAATACAGGAATGCCAATTAAGCTTAGAAACGTAGTGTATACATTATCAGTAACTACTTTTTTGCAAACGCTGAAGATTTATACTAAGATTTTAATGTCTCTCGCTTCTATGTTCATTGATATAACAATTTTATATTTCGTGAATTTTAATATCAAAACAAAATATTTCTTTAAATTTTCAAACAATTTGGCGAACTTATTATTTTTCGTAATTTTTAATATCAACTTCGTAATCAGCGACCCCAAAAACATAGTGCGCTGTAGACTGCCGCAAAAAAATCACTGATGTTTTGAATTATCTGAGACATCAGCTTGAAATTCACTTCGGGTGCTCAGACCAAACTTTTTTTTTACTACGAAAGCAGAAAGAACATGATGTGAAACAACCTATAACAGTTTATTATTATTTTTATTTAGTACAGAGTAAAACAAACATGGACAACAGTTTACCTTTTATTATAGATAAAATAACATTACGAAAAAGTTACATTAATTTATATTTTTAGGGTTTAGAAAAATCTGAAAAAATTCCGGCAGACCATAACAGTCGTGACCAATCCAAAACTCTATTCAGTTCCTCTCTAACTCATTCTGATTTTGGAGATTTTCGATTTTTTTCCTTAACGGCAGCACTTGCATAAAAATCGACAATCGCAGAGTGTTTAGCGACCCCAACTGCATACGGAACCGTCATTAGAAAAGCACTATTTTTTTAATTCTCATGCTTCGTGTTATTAGAAGTGAAACGCTTTTTGTGTTGATTGGCCAATCAAGCTGCATTAGATGGTTCCAAATTTTCATACCGCCATCTGTCCGTCAGAAACTGTACTAATCTTAGGGAGGATTCTTTGGTCGGTAGCGAACTGTAATAGCTTCTCATTCTGTGGCGAGTTAATTGAACTTGTCATATATAGATGGCGCCGCCTTAGATCCTTTTATATTGGGACTATTTAAATTAAACCATAGTATATTTACTTATACAAAAATTAAACTAAGAAAAAGTTGAGATAATTCAAATCCTAAATCAGTTCTTATTATTAAAATTTCAAATATTTACTAACGTTTTTGATTTTCGAAAGAAACATTTTGATTTTGAGACATGCTAATGGAATGAATATTCGTGACTTATTTCTCGATATTTCTCAAATAGTTCAAGGGCTCAGATAAATCTGAAAAAAATCGGGTGCACTATAACAGCCTTGGTCAATCCAAAACTGCAGTCAGTTCATATCTAGCTCATACAGTCTTCAAGATTTGCAATTTTCCTGCTTAAAGGTAGCACTTGTACAAAAACCGACCATCGCAGAATGTTCAGTGACCCAAAGTGCGTACGGTACCGCCTTTAGAAGAACACTTAAATTTTTTGACAATTTTCATGGTCCATCGATTTTCTCAAAAAGATTTAGGGTTCAGAAAAATCTGAAAAAATTCCGGTGGACTATAATGGTCCTGACTTACACAAAAATAGACGCTCCCAGCGTGTTTAGCGACCACAGGTGCGTGCGGTACCACCTTTAGAAGAGTATTTTAATTTTTTGACAATTTTTGGGTAATTGGAAATATATTATTCCATTCAAAATTTCAATCAATAACATCGAACTCTCCCTTGTGTGGATTGCAATGAAGCTGTAAAACTTGTTGCCTAATTTTCAAGTCCTGCCATCTATCTCTCAGAAATTGCACTGAACTAGGAGAGAATTCTTAAGAAGGTAGACAACTGTAACTCATTCTATGGCGAGTTAACTCAGCTTGTAATATATAGATGGCGCTGCATCATATCCTTATAAATAGGACTATATGGCATTGTACAAGGATTAAACTAAGAAAATGTTCAGATCACATTATATAATTGATTTATGAATGAATTACGTATGGCAATTTTTAAATACCCCTATCCTCGAGAAAAAGTCGCCAAGAATATGGCGGACCAGTGTTGCCAGATGGAAATTTCTGTCAACAGTAGAAATGTAGCCAAAAAAACAGGAGATTTCTTTTTTCAACAGGAGATTTTAATAAATATATTTTTTAATAGAGGAACACATGCACAAAATATAGCAAAATATTATATTTATATAATATATAATTGTAGGAGTTCGTTTAATAGTTTGCAATTACATCGGTACGTCACGTGATTTGACAACTGTCAGTTGTCAAAATAAAAAATCCCAGAATCCCGCTGAAGTAAACGAACGAAANGTCGTCTACCCCGACCGCAAATGCGGCCGGTGTAGGCGCTTTGTGGGACCTCCTTTTGTCCTGGCTGGGCCCCGCCGGCTAGGGCCCTTTCTTCTCAGGAGATCTGGTAACACTGTGGCGGACCCTTCGAGCATATCCTACTGGAGGCAGCATGCCATTGCGAAGAGTGTGGTTGAGTATGCGAGAGAGACATATAATATCTCAGTTTTTGCTGTTTCACTCTAGCACGCAGCGATTGGTTGGAGCATTCATTTCTAACCAATCGCGGCGTTCTAGAGTGAGACAGCAAGTACTGAGACACCGTCTGTCTCTCTCGCATAATCAGCCACACTTTTCGCAATGGCATGCTACCTCCAGTAGTATAGGAAACATAACCTGTTCTTTCTCGTGCTTTTAATATTTTTAATAATTAATTTCTGATTAATTATTGCAATCCAAGGCAAGGTAAAGAGATTGTTAGTTATGTAGCAGTGTTACACGTAAAATGAGTTTTTTTTATTAAGAGTTTACATTTTTTGATTAAATGCAGGTTTAGTTATTTAGATTCCAGCAGAAATAATTTAAATCAGATTATAAAATCGGTCTGAATTTATAAATTTCTTTAAAAAACTTACGAAAGCGTATTTATTTTCTAAGCAGATTTTAAAATGTAAGTCTACTATAATTTTCATTTCATTATTAACTATTTATAGGGTATAGTATTACTTATAAATAAATAATTTCTAATAAATTACACAAGAACAAGATAACTAAACTAAACAACTACTCATCATAAAATAAGGTTTTTAGTAGTGATTAGTGATGGGACTACTCGAATGAAAATTATCGATTATATCGATTATGAAAATCTCTCGAGATATCTCGAGTGGTCATATAGAATCATTCGATTATTCGGATACGAATGACAGTGGCCACAGCGTTACTAATACCTGCACTACTCGAGCGAGTGCGCAGATGTTTCGATTGTTCCAACGCTCTAACGAGCTACAACATCTCGAGATAAGACGGCCGAGAGGATAGATGAGACAATCGAATATCACCGACATACAATAAAAAAGGTATGCAGGAATTTTATGAGTGGCATCGCGGGGGGTTAGATGGGAGCTTTATTTAGCGGGGATAAAAATTCATATGAATGAAAATAATACCAAATTATGTTTTCTATATAATTTTTTTTTTCAAAAAAATCCCAAACAATGGACCTCTTTAGGCGGCGACTACTCATTTTAAACACATGCTGCTGAATCACTCAACTGGCAACGAAGAAATATGGAAGAAATGCCCCAATCCGCGACAGTCATTCATTTACCTAACGTCAACATGTTTCGCATATGATTTGGGATAGACCGGAAATTTTCAAAGTGAACTTTCGATTATTCATTCGAATGATCATTCGATTATAAAATTAATTCGAATGGTAACCTCTCGATTATTTAATTCATTCGATTATTCCCATCACTAGTAATAATCAAAAACCCTTACTTATAGGTTAATATTAACAAGTAGTGATGGGAGATTTCGAGTGAAAAATCGAGTGGTACTCGATTATTGAGATCACTCGAGATATCTCGAGATGTTTACTCCCACCACTCGAGTGATTATTACCCTACGGTTGCACCCCAAAATGTTAGTGCATACTGCAAATAGTCACTGATTGCGTAACCTTTTTTTTAGAATAATACGAAAAAGTGGTTAGGTTGTGAAGTGCGTGAGCTTTTTTTTTTTTTTTTAGCTACGCTTATAAGTGATATATGACTAATACAAACATATTTCTGCGCCGCTGGGATGAAAACGACCAATATCTCGTATCTCGAGTGATCACACGATTATTAGAAGTACTCGATTACCGATAACTCGATTATCAAAATTGGTCGATTATGCCCATCACTAGTTTTTAGTACATAACGCTGGGATATAAGAAGGTATAAGTGAGGTTAGTTACATATACAATAATGAACACATATTAGATCTATGAATGAAAATGAGAACAGAAATCGTAATATCTGTTGGTCGCTAACAAAATGGTGGAAATATGGAAGACGCGGGAAATGTAACTTCCTACCGATTTGATTAGTATAGTTCAGATAATTCAAATCCTAAGTAAATCAGGGGATCAGAAAAATCTGAAAAAAATCGGGAACTCACAAAATGTACTCGCCTCAAGGAGCCAGTTTTATTTGAATATTAATGGAGTATAAACGAGTGAAATACGATGGAACGGGGTATTTTTAGAACACACTTTTTAAAAGGAATATGGTTCAAGAGAAAACAATATAAAATTCGAGGAAGTACTGTTGGTCACCTTACTATATTTCACCTATGTATTACCTTACCTATGTATTTCAGTAAAACGCAATATAAACATAAATGTATTTATATTTCAATGGCATCATATCACAATATAACACGTTACTTGATTATTTATTAACCTACAACAATGGTACCTTGAGATTTAAACAGTAGCAAAATAATTTAAGCAAGGCCAAAGACGAAAAATGACCGATTGGGGTATGAAACCCTGATAGCAAATGTTAACTAAATATGTATATTATACAATCAGTTCTCTTAAGTAAGCATTTTAAACATTACTTCACTTTTCAGATCCATTGTGTGATATCCATTACGGAATATCTGTTACAAATTTAGAAATTTTTGTATTTGTTTAAACCTCAAAAAATTCTTAATAAAAAAACTAATGCGATATATTTCTAAAGAGATAAAAAAATATAATGTATTGACCCTCAACCGATATCCTTCAAATAAGGTTTCGTATAAAATTGTTTAACAAGGGAGAAGATAAATGATCGAGCGTTGTGTAACGAGTTGTTTGAATCTTGAATCTGTAAAAAATTTGTTAATTTAATATTTTAGCGTCCTTATTAAACTTGCATTTAACAACTTACTTGACGAAGTGCTAGCTCTGCACAATCTTTAATTTTTCCTTGCGACTGACCAAAATCAAGTGTTAACAACACTTTTACACACTCGGTATTACCTCCAAGTTGTCCCACTTTAGCAGGCGCATTCGCTACTCTTCTTATAACCTGGGGCTCACCTTTCATCTCTGGAAGTTGGGCTAATATATAACCTAAAACAGATATTAAATAAATTGTAATAAAGTAAACAAGGACCAAGACGAACCTGCCAAGGCTCGACAAAGAAACCTAAAGTTCAGCGACAGATTTCCTTGTCTACTTAGACCTATGACGCTAAGTAGTCCTCTGCCCCAGCTGGAATTGCTCTTGTCTTCAGAGATTTCTTGAAGAATGTGTGCAAATTTGTATAAAATCGTTCCACAGAGAGGTTCGTCTTTTTCAACATGTTGCAATACCAGTATGATAAAACCGCACCATATTAGTGGCAATTTTTGTTCAGTTGGTTCGCTAAAATAATTATAAAATTAAAAATTGGTAAATGAACCTACTGAAGTATGATTTTATGGAAAACGACTTACCTAATTTTAATGTTGATCATCCACTCTAAACAAAGATTTAGTAAAGCCTCTGGATCAGTACATTTGGTTATCCTTTGGACTAGCATGGCATTTAACGTCAATAAGCAACTTTTATTAAGAATTGCTTGTTCCAAGTCAGTCTGCTTAGAAACCAGTATATTTAAAAGTTCGCCCACTTCCTTCCACGTCGGCTGAAATTCGTCAGACACTAGAAAAGTTTCAAGAAATCAGTCTACAAATCTTAAATTTATAATCGTCAAATCTTACCTATATTACAAAAATAGCTAGTCAAGGTAGCTTCGAATAGCTCGGCAAGAATTTCAAAGTCAGTTACAGCCATGCCCAGAGTTTTCAGTAAACATCTAACAATGATTCCATTTCCGGGCTTGTTTTCAATCCATTTATTAAACGCCTTTACAGACGCATTATTTATTTTATCATTGTTTAATATACACAACAGTTCTTTTAACAACACTGTCATTTCTCCCTCAGAAGTAACCACATATTCCAAATCATTAAGTTGGCGAGATATTAAGAGATAAATTTCTTGCTGTTTATGCGCAAGGCTGTTTTTATGCCTGCTTGTATATACAGTTAACAGTTTTATGTAAGTTTTAACGAAAATTTGTCTTTTGTACATTACGTCGGATGTTGGCTCTGACAGTGGTTTATCGTAATTTGAAACAAACTTCAAAAAGCTGAAATAAGTTGAACAATTTATGTATATTAAGTATACAGGGTGTTGTATAAGTCTATGGCAACTTCAGAAGGGTGTGCCTTAGGTAATTTCAGATCAAAAGGCAATGAGCTGGTTTAAAGTTTTCGAGATGTGGAAATTTTCCAAAAATACAGGGCGTAGCGTGTATAATCTATAAAAATTAAACTACAGCTTCCTGACGATATTTGTAATAGAAAAGTCTTTTACTATCTTAAATGCACTGTTGTTACTGCAAGCGTTTGCAAACAAAAGCACATCCGTAAGCATCTGTAGTTGCCAACTGCGTGCACTAAACAAATTCCATTAAAATATGGAACAAAATGAAATAAAACTTACCATTTCTAGAGAAAATGTTGAAATTGATCCCCATTAGCGCGGATACAGGCATGGCACCGAAGCAGCCAATTTTGGCGAATATTTTCCCAAATTCCCGGTATTCTCCTAATTGTGTCAGCAACTTCAAGTATATGGTTTTGCAATTCTTCCACCGTAGCAATTGGAGTATTGTAAATGAATGACTTCAAGTGACTCCAAAGCTAAAAGTCCATTGGAGTTAGATCGGGTGACCGAGGTGGCCACGGCACAGGACCAAAGCGTCCAATCCACCGCTGAGGAAACAATTTCATTCAAAAGTGTTGCTACTTTTCAAGTACTGTGTGGAGGAGCCCCATCTTGAAGATAAAACATGCGTGCCCGAACTTGTAATGCCATATCGTCCAATAATTCAGGCATGCGGTTCTCCAAAAAGTCAGCATATGTTGGTCCATTTAGTCCTTCAAAGAAATGGGGACCCACAAGTACATCGCCCATTATGCCAGCCCAAACATTTACCGAGAACCGATGTTGAAAATGAGTTTCCCTAATCTCGTGAGGATTTTCGTCCCATATGTGCATATTATGGAAATTCACTTCATCATGTGTAAATGTCGCCTCATGTGTCGAGAAAAGTCGAGTTGATTGGCACATTGCCATAAAAACCATCGCAAAAACGCATTCGTTGAACACAATCCGGGGGTAAAATCTGTTGAACTGGTTGCAGATGATAGGGGTGCAACAGCTGGTGCCTTAAGATGCGATGTCCGGTACAAGACGAGGTTCCTACTTGCTGTGCGAGTCGTCGAGTACTAATTGTGGGGTCTTCGTCAAGATTTTCCAATTTCTTTTTCTTATTTCTTATTTTTTCCTTTATAAAAATTACACTGTCACTATCATGGAATTACAAAATAAAAACTTCTGTCTGGAATCTATCACTTTTTAACACCGATGGGTCGATGGACGATGCTTAACATTTAATAATTAAGTGAATAATGAATTCAGTACAAGTACAAAATCAGTTGACTGCACACATTTTTTGACAATGTAACCTAACGTTCATTGTAGTAGTACTAGTATTAGATTATACCGACTTAAATTATAAGCCACATAAAAACATTTCCAAAGTTTTTAATAAATAACACAGGGTCGGCATTCATTTTCGTTGAAAAAATGAACTTTAATTTACAAAAAAAAAACGCGAAATAGAACTTTTTCGTATAAGACTTTTCTATTACAAATATCATCAGGAAGCTGAAGTTTAATTTTTATAGATTAAACACGACACGCCCTCTATAAATAATGAATGGAATAGAATTGTTCTTAGAGATAGATACTCACTGTAGAACCCTGTGATCTAAATCGAGAGGATCGGTTTTAAATATAACAGAGGAATCATAGCTCATTACGACCCAGTCCATCACGTGCTGATAAATTACCGGGTCGACGATGGTCCAGTCGAAATTCTCAGCTTGCACTAATAAAGACTTGGCTTTTTCACCATAATTTTTCTTTATGTTCGGTTCGTTCGACAGCTTTATTATTAAATTCAAGAAACACTGGTACACGCGACTTTTAAGCTGAGGTGGGGCATTCGTGAAGTTATTCAACCAGTTTGGCCACGCCACGGATATAAAAATGTGGCCTAAAAACGAATGACTCTCGGGCAAGTACTGATCGACAACCTAGAATAACGAACAATGGTATTATTAACATCGAGGACTAAATGTACTTCTTACCCTGAGCATAAATTCAACGTCTATCACCGACGGCCAAAAGTTATGCCACGGGAAATTTACAAACGTTTTATGTATGGGTGTTAAAATATGGTCCTTGACGGAAGTATGAGCGTAGCAGGTAACATACCACTGCCATATGTAACTCAGTATGCTGCTAGAAGCTGTAACGAATAAAATTCAAGAATTATTTTAACGAAGATTATAATATAGTTTACCAGGCAATGTGTGGATGATGAAAGTCACACACTCATAAAACACGTTTATGACCTTTTGGGCAAAATTTCCGTCGGCCGGTATCCAAGGAAGTAGTATCGACCTATCGTCGGCCAATTGCTGTATCCAAGACGCCATATTTTCCTTCAGGTTTTGCATGGAATACGGCACCAACCAAGGAGCGAACATATCTCGGATGAACGGCCAAATTTTCTCACACAATTTGTCACCCAACAAACCTATGATATATCCAAAGTAAAACATATTCACACTTTTTTGCAGTATGTTACCCTGATGAGTGTTAAGCATGCTAACAATTATCCCATGCCCAGTCATACCCAGTAGCACGACTATAACGTCCATGTAATTCCTACATTTGGGGTAAAGTCCGTACAAGCCGTACTGAAGTCTTTCTTGTGTAAAGTGCCCCGACAGCAGTTCAGATGTTTGCAGTAACTCTTGATGTTGCAGCATCTTCTGATACTGGGCGTACTGTCTCAATTGATCCCTTGAAAAAACAAAGTTAATAAAATGGCACTTGAGTGAACAACGGGAACTAACCGTAGAGGCAATTTCAAATTAAGTACCACTGGTCTTGCCAAACAATTCAATATGTCCAGCCACACCGATATTGCTAACAAATTTGTCTCGGGATTGCCATTGCTTGCCTTCAACAGATGCATCAAAACCTCACCGTAATGTTCGGGGAATTGGAATTCGAATACGCTGAGCAAGTGTTTTCTGTACAATTCATGAAGCACCAAAGTTTCCACTGGAGGATCAAAGCCTAACGTCGTCAAAGCTTTGACAACGGACTGGATGAATTGAGACCGCTGACTAAGTTTCGGCTGTTTAGTTTGTAGCCACTTGTCTACTTCAAACTAAAACATATTTTTGTGTAATACCGGAACAAGTGTTTTCTGTTCGATTACCTTCGATAAAAGTGCAAATGCAATATCATACTTTTGCCCTACTTCCTTGCAAATTATGGAATACATCAGTAATAAATTCGCAGTTCCCACATTCGTAGGAGAGAAATGTTGAGCGAGATATACCCCCAAATTTTGTTCCTTTAAAATCGTTTGAAGTAACCTGGGCATTTCATATTCAACTCCACATATATGAGACTGAAAAAAAAAGTGGAAACATATGGGAATATTCTTTAATGTACAACAAGCAGTTACCTGTCCTAACTTTTCCAAACAAATTGTGAATAATGTTCTGGTGGGAAGGTATGCATTTGTTTCTTCATTTAACAATGACAAGATGTAATAAAATAATTCCACGCCTAACTCGGCAGTTGATGGATTGCATTTGAGTTGACTCTGAAGAACCCTGGAAAAAATTGTTAATATTTTTTCCCGTCTCCATAAAGAAATATGTTTGCACATCTTTCTCAGATTGCGGCCATTTGGGGGCATTATATCAAACATTTGTAAGGATTTTATCATAATTAAAAAATACTATAACCAATAATAAATACCAACTATTGACTATAACAAGTTGCCATTAACAAATGGCAACAAAATACCCAAGGTGGTTGTAGAACAGATGTTAAAATATTTTTAACAAACGAACAATTAATGATTCAAATCTTTCCCTTAAAATATCTGTATTAGTGTAAACTTACTTAACGGTGTGTTGAACTGTTACGGAAGCTGTGAGTAAATTCAATGGTGGAGATTGTAGAGTCTTTGCCAAAAGAGATTCGTATGCGTTACGATTAGTTTGTACTTGATGATCAATTCGTTCATTTATTCTTGCTTCCTGCAAGACAAAATATTTCAATAATATTAGAGATGTGCCGCGGACATGTCAGCTGGACGCTGGACATGTCGTGAAAAGAGGACATGTCCTGAGGACAATTTTCAAGAATGAAAAGTTGTATGGGCATGCGCGGAATTTGTTGCATTCATAATTCCCGTTCGTTGGTAATTGTTTAAGTGAAACTGACATTTTAAAAATATAATCTCTTTTAGAATGGCCATATTTTATTATTTTTGGTTAAGTTAACAATTAGTAAATAGTAATCAGTTGAATTTTAATTTAATATTTAATACACAAATAGTTTATAAATGAATTATGACGCCAAAATCAACAATTTGGTTATATTTTTCTAAATTGAGTAAATATCATTATAAATGTAACTCCTGCTCAAAAACAATTTTTAAGATTGGATGGAAAAACATTTAAATAAGTGTACTGGCTGTCAGCGGAAAATTAGAAACTAGTTTATAAAAAAGTCTAAAGGTAGGTAAATAAGTAAAATATATCGACAGATATTCATTAGAATTAAAAGTAATATTTTTCTTTGTGTACCCTCAACCTGTGAAAACATGATGTCACTCATAGGTGCCTTATTAGATTCAAGGTGAAAAGTACTTTTCCTGACATGTCCGGACATTTCATCGACATGTCCAACGGATATGTCTGTAACACACCTTTCCGAAAAGTGCCCATCTCTAAATAATATACGACATGGTTTAATTTTTTCATCAAATTTTAATAAGGCTCTATAGCAGATATGCAACCAGCAATACATTTTTATAGATTTTATTACACAGTTTGTCTAAATATGAATTAATGCACAAATAACAGACTTTCCTCCATTCTAACGCAGATTTTCTATAAAATGGAGTTAGTTTGAAACTCAAATTACTTTTTTTTGTAAAGAAATTTGTAATTCGCCGCTTTTGAACAAACGGCATCTTAAATTACAAATTTCTTTACACCAAAAAGTAATTGAAGTTTCAAACCAAGTCCATTTTATAAAAAGTCAAGGCATTAAAATGGGGAAAAGTTTGTGCGTTAATCCATATTTAAACAAACTGTGAAATAAAATCTATAAAAATGTATTGCTGGTTGCCTATTTGCAAATTATCAAAAAATAAAGTCATACAGTGTGACCCATTTCAAATCAGAACAGTCTGATAAAATTGTATTTATTATTTGACTTCAAATAATAAATACAACTTTTAGCAGCTTATTCAGATTTGACATGATCATGGTGTATATAACGCTATAGAAAAACGCTTACTATTGGGGATATAGGATAAAGTTTGCTTAAAAAAATATTTCTCGAATATTTTCCTGTTGCATAATCTCGTTCTCGTTCTTGAAATTTTATATAATATTTTTGACAGTAAAGAGTAACGACACATTTTTTATATGAATTTTTCTGTTTTACTGATGTAAAAAACAATACTAATAATTCCAATATTACTGACCTGCATTTCTAATATTATAACAGCAGCTCCGGAACAGTGCACAGCTTGGTTTCTGCCCTTGCAAGGCACTTTTTTCTTAACCTTATTCAACACCGACCTATAAAGCTGTGGAATTAACTCCTGGTACGAGCAATCCAGTGCTTTTTGTTCGGACAACCTCAACGTGTAATTATGTGCGAACTGCTTCAATATCTTGAAGCACTGATCCAGTCCCTTGAACATATCCTCCTTACAGCTCATGTCAATCCTTGGTAACATAGGAGCGCAGTTCCCCATGGGAGGCGGCGGTTTTGGCGCATCGTAAGACGCTAGTCTTCTTAATATCCGTTCTTTGGGGTCCGAACTCTCTATTCTGCTGCCAGGATTTAAGAGCGGTTGGTTGACGTTAGTTCGTTCACGAAAGTTTGCTACTCGCCACGTTCGGATACAAGTTTGTTGTTCCTTCTTCAGTTTTTCGTAATCTAAGTAATCGTACCACGGAAACTAGAAATAATTATATAACAAAAAAGTACACAAGCAGTTTAAAAGATGGGCATACCTCATTTCCTTGCATTATGAAAGATAATAGAGCTGGTTCGTACTGAGGCGGCAGATTCTTTAGTAAAACGTTACTTTCCTGTAGTCTTGGTTCTTCCAACCATAACGAAAATGCTCGGAAAACTTTGTGACAAGCCGAATAAAAATTTTTTCTACCTAACTCGTCGTTGTCCTCGTCTTTAATGTCTAATTTACCCTGGAAATAATCTACGTTCTCCTGTAAACGTCGCTTTATCCTCTTCAGTAAAGAGAAGTTTACTAAACCGTCGAAAAATTTATCACCGACACATGCCGTGTCTGCGGCACCGCAAGAAGGCAGTCGTGCCAGGTATAAAGTGAAAAATTTTTGCCACAGCAGAGGCAATAAAGGATGGCCTAAAGGTGTGTCTAAAGCTTGCTGGGCCCAACGATATATGCCAAGGGAAGCGGACAAGAAAGACGGAGCCTTTACGACACTTGCTGCTTTCTGAAAGGTTTTAATACAATTAAAATCACTATTGTTAAAAAGACAGATGCAAAATCTTCATTTGAAGGACATAAACACACAAAATTAAGGTTCGAGTTCCTGTTTTTTGAAAAAATGGATTTTATGATCGCAGTAATAAAAAGTTTTTATGAAAAGAATTTTACTGGAAGATTTTTTATAGTAACCATCTATGTGGTAGTAAACCAGATATATTTATTTAAGGAAAAAAATGTACCTTAATAGCATGATCGACATTTACTTTTCCTTTCTGTCTACTCAGTTGTATAAGAAGCTCTTTCCATATTCCAGAGTGCACCTCTCTTTCTTGATATTCAACGGCAATTATAATATAAGCAAGCCAAGTATAACTGGTCAGAGAATTCACAATCAAACTACCATTAGTGTTTGTACTGGAAACCCATTTGATTATCGAACTTATAGTCCCGACCTGTTCCTGGGGGCTACCATCCTTCAAAATATGTGAATAGAAAAATTAGTGAGGAATTTCTAAATTTATACAATAAATTCATATTTTCCTGATGATATTCACCTGTAACAAATCTCTCAAGATGTTAAAAACCACTTCTAAGGCATCAACATGGAAGAAAGCCGTCCTAACTATCACATCCAAAAGGTATATTACAGCGGTGTCTCTATTCCAGTTAGGAACAGATACCAACGAATTTATCCACAGTCTTACCAACCCTTTTGGGCTCTGAAGGTCATAAAAGGCATAATTAACAATTTGCGTCTCTATCATATTGCCAAACTGCTGTAAGACCGTGTTCTGGGCGAAAACTAAACTTTTTGCCATTGAAATATATCCTCTATCGGCGTTTAGCAGATTTATTAAGATCTCTTGGAATTTGTCGCAGTTTATTAGGCACTCTTGACTGTTTAAAAATAGCGGAACGATTTGGTAAAGCGCAAACAAAACAGCTTCGTATTTTTGTTGAGACTGGAGGAATAAGATTTGAGATAGGCCTTTGGTGCAAATCAAAGGGATTAGGTGGCCCCAGCTCGTCATCAATATGGTTACAAAAGACGCTAAAGCTTTTTGTTCCCTGATTCCTAAAAATTGATTAAAATTTAGATCCATCAATTTAATTTATATCGATATAACAAGTACTTTCTAACCTTTCACAAGTATGTCATATCGTTCAACTTCCTGAATCCTTCCGATTTCAGTAAAAGCTTTATCACTTATATGCAGCTTCAGTCTTAGAATAGTTTGCCACGCCCATTGCAAAACGGAAGGTTCTTGATCGGCAGCATGTACAACTAATATTGCTACATCACAATGCGTTTCATATGGAAGGGAATCCCACTTAAGTCTAGAGAGAATCATCCTCGATAATTTATTTTCGTTCGTCGTTGAGGCATTATTTAACAATAATCTGAAAAATATATTAAATTCAACAATAAAATAGCTTTAAGAAATATTTATACCTTGATATGATTTCTAAATCCGCATCGGTAACTTTCCAAACAGATAAAGGTAATTCTTCATAGAGATATAACGCTAATGCACCTATTTTTTCCATATTTTCTTTGACTTGCTTTAATATACCAGACAATAAGTGAGGGTATTTTGAAGTCAGGTGGGTGAGAAGTATTCTTGCAGATTTTGAACAACTCTCTTGAGTCACTTGGCTTATAAATCCAACCTACATAATTATAAATAATTTAATTTTGATAAAACAATAGCAATTTCCATACCTTCAATAAATCTATAGTACAGGCATTGATGAAATCCATATCTTCGTCCATCCTAGCTAAAGCCATGTTAGCAAAAGTATTCAACAAATAATATGCTTCCGCATCCTCCAAAGCGCTTAATTTCTCCTCAAATTCTGTCCTTAGTTCATCGTTAAACATTTTCTTACTGTAATCCTCAGCATCCAGGGGATTCAAGATGTCTCTAGCCTGATTATCTGAGCTGTGGAGAAAATAGAAAATCTTCCACAAGGTTTTTATCGTAACCATGTTATAAGGGATAACAGCGAGAAACTGCCAAGCCCCCAGCTTTTGCGACGAGTATAAGTAATAGATGGCTCTCAGGAAAAAGGCATCATATTCCACTTGAAGGTGTTCCATCATAGCTTTATCTTCTAAGTTCTGATCCTTGAAATTTTAAAATAGTTTGTATTGACACGAGTTGTAACAAATTTTAACAGCTCTACCTTCAAAAACTGCTCCCATTGATCTGTAGCATACTGAGTAACATGACGTATAAAGCGACTCAGTCGTTTTGAAAACTGATTATATTTTGGTTGGTCGTAAGTCTGAATGCCCTTATATAAAATTTTTAATAGCACCGTTGAAAATGCTAGAAACTTTAATATATGATGTTCCGTTATTAGCGTAGTATCATAAACATCCTAAAAAACAATACTAAGTCTATCCGTCTATAAAACTCCTTGCGTTAACTCCCAAGATTATATTTGATTTAGAATTATCTAGAATAGCATTGAAAGTGGGGTTTTCTTAGCATATGTTTATTTTGGGAGGGAAATGAAGTGATATCTAAAAGAAGTAAGTTTGTTAATGTCATAGATATGTGGCATTTTGTATCAACCACCTGCTAACCTAATCTAATTATTTACCTTCTAATAAATTTTATCTAATCATCAACACAATAACAATAAACTCAGTTTTCAAACAATGCTGACACATCTCAAAAAACTCCAATTGGTTTAAAACGTAAATATCTCCTCCATTAAGACTGAACGGCAAAAGGAAAATCTCACTTTCAATGACACCCTGCGTTTATTAGATTTCCTTATACCTGGTAATTTTTTGTATATATCAACAACAGATCCCTAAATAAATTATCCAATGGCAGCTGATTGAGAAGAGCCACCAAATCATTTTCTCTAAGAGAAGTACCCGAGGATTCCTCATCCTCTTCCCCGTCGGAATCAACCATAACCCAAAGGGCTTCAGTGGCTACTTCTTTATTCTGAGCGATGTCTTGTAAAAATGTTTCCCTCTCTTTAATTGGGGTTAGTATCGTAGCAAGAACCGTTAGAATATGATTTATTTGGTAGTTGGCAAAAGGTGACATTTGGACGTTAACATCTAATGGTGTTTGTATAAATGATGATGCCCACATGCCGACACCAGACGGACATCTACAATTTTAACGGTTCAATTGATACTTGTACACCTACAAAGCTATAAACTTTACCTCAGTATGTGATTTAGTATAAACAGGTGATCTTGAAAATTTGCCACTCGTAAAAGAACAGCAACAAGGTGAGTTAGCCAGGTTCGAGTTTCTTTAATGAACTGTGTTTCTCTAATTAACTTTCTTTGAAAAGAAAATAAAACAGATATACAAATTCTGATTTCTGCTAAATATGGTGACAGATGTGGCGGTTCGCTTTGTAAAACTAAAGCAACTGGGGCGTCCTTATTTAGTTGTGTAATGTTGGTGCAGTTATTTATCACAGTTTGTACAAACAAATCAATCTAAAAGAAAACTGTTATAAATATATGTGGCTCCGCTTTCATCACTGTTGATAGTTTCTCATACCCAATATTTTTTTAAGTAGAATAAGTTCTTAAAAATATTATAGATTACATAAAAGTAAAAGGTGTTACTGCAAGTGAAATAGCTTCCAATTTTCAACATTTACCTGAAGTTTCAGTTCTCCAGCAGAGTATGAATAAAGAATATAGTTTTCGTAAACCAGCTTTTGTACGTTACCTAAAATTCTTACGATACTTTGAAAAACAGATCTATGAAAAATACTTCTGTTATAACTATGAGATGCTGTTACAATACTTCCATCCTGGCATTCGCCACGTCCCGTTTGAGTAGCTGTTTCAATGCTCCATAAATCAGACTGAAGAGACTTGTACTCTATACGAATTTGCTCCAGTTCTAAGGCATTCCCAGTAATTTTTTCACAAACTTGCAGGTAGTTCACAAGAAGTTCATAGAGAGGATGATGTTTGATAGCTAAGCCTTATGAAAATATGCTAAATTAATATAATGTACTTAAAATAATGTTGGCACATACCTTTCAATTCTGCTTCCGCAAACTGAGCATTGTACGTTTCTAATATTTCTAATTCATTGTTGTGGTACAAGGCACTCAACTGAGAAACTGTATATGGTTTTATAAATGCCATTGTATGTGCTTTTTCTGATGTTTTTTCAGGTGTAGGTAACTCGTTTTTAGTTTGGTTAGTAAGGTCATTCAATTTCAATGTATTTACTATTTCTTTGTTGACATTTAACAATTTTTTAAAGTCATCTACATATTCGGTAATGTTTTCATTAATTTCTAAAATTATTAAAAGAACTATATATGTTAATAATATAAATAATATTCATACCTATAGTCTGGTTAATTTGCTTAGAGGAATTATCTTTTAACTCTACTTCCAAACTGTTTTTCATATTTGCTGCATCAGCAGCATTTTCTACAACTGCTGTTTCTTTATTTATTTCATCATTGTTATCTACCTGCTGTTTGTCTTCTTTAGATATTTCATCTACTTTGTTTGTCACATTTTCACTTTTTGCAGACCTTACTTTATCTTTCTTCTATATAAAATACAAAGTATATTAATTATAAAAATATAATAGAGAACATAACGAATATTTTATTTTATAATGTTAAAAGTATAAAACACTATATATAAATAAAATTCAGTAACTACTATAGTATTAATAGTACTAATACTACGATATTGCAAATATATATGCAAATAATAAAAAATTAAGTGCATACCTTACTTTTTCGTTCGACAACAGCTTCCATTATTAAACAATGATATAGATATTTGTTGATAAAGATATTGGTTAGCTTGTCAATATAGATAAACAATACCTATCTTAAACACTATTGACATTTTCAATTGTTCAATATTTGTTTATTTCTGTAACTGAAACTAAATCTTGAACTTATTTTACTTTACACTTTAAAATTTCTGTACTACATTCAAACAAAATATCAAAATATTTTGGTTGCCTCACCACTTGACAATTATTGTCACTTCAAGTTATAAAGGCTACTACATTCACACTACAGTACATTTGAACTACGCTGCGCTTTCCCTATAGATATAAAATGATGGTATTTGCCATGGAGACTAGATAGTAGTAGATAGTATAGTCTCCATGGTATTTGCTATCCCTTATATTCTTTCGATGAATATGATTGGCTGTTTCTGTGACGTGCGATCAGTGGAGCCAATAACGTTTAGCAAAGGAGAGAGATAGCTAATACCTGCATAATAGCTATCTCTCTATACGCTTTGTAACGCACCGATCTATTGGAAGACTACCTCCAGAAGTATATGCTCGAAGGTTGGAAACTTTACAAGGCTAGTAGGGTAGATCGTAGATCAGATACGGCAAAAAGGCGCATTATTTAAATTTAGAGGGTTTCGTACGTAAATAAAATCAGTAATCTTAATGTAAAGAAACTTTGTACTGGTTTATAATTTACATAAAGACGATTGAACATTTTTGTTAGATAATTCTACCTTAGCTGATAAAATTAGAAATGTTATAGCACAAATAGTTTAGAATTAGATATTAAAAAATATCATCAAACTTAAGTAGTAAACAAATACTGATATGTTAATCTGGCAATAAAGTTTTTTTATAAATAACACACTATAATTCATTTTAAGTACACATTATACTTATATATCTGTTGGTAGAATATCAGGAATTAAATAACTGCATAATTCTTCCTCAGAATTTACAAAGGTGACTTTGCTTGTTGTGTTTTCATCTAACCTAAAAGAAAATGATTAAAAATTAGTACCTGATCAACGCTGATATAAGATAGTTGATTATGACTAGGTACTGAAAATTAGTAGAAATAATATTAGTAGTTACAGGTTGCAGTCACTACAGACTTATTCATTCTCTCTCGTCTCGTGTGGCGGCATTTCAATTTTAGCAAGTACTAGACAGTAATATTAAAAAAACAGAAGTAACTAATAAAGAATAGTAAGTATATTTCTTTGTATACTCTAGAAATGTTCCAATCCATGGAATGTATTGATATTCCATATCTGTTCGGATGGTAATTTAATTATTACTGTATAAAAAAAGGTTACTAAAAATCGATACTTAAAATATCGACACTCCATTGGGGCTTTTAGAGGTTTTGAGGTTGTATTATTATATTTGAATATAAAAAATTGCTAATACAGTATTTCACAAACTGGCACGCATCATCATAAGGCTACGCAATAAAGAATATTTTACCTTCATCTGTTTTTTACTTACTACTCTTTGATAGTGGCCTATACACCTATAAAACGGGACACTCTGTATGTGCAATTTATTTCCACCATAAAAATTTATGGTAGTTTTATGTATGCTTAACTCTGTACATTCAAAAGGCTCTTACCATCCCCTTATCACAGCCCAACAGCTTGAAAACAATGTTGATGAATTTATTATCAAACACACCCCCAGCCTTTCTGGATAATGGCGACTTAGTAACCATATCAGATTTTTAACTAATTGGTAATCCATACATGAGACTCCAAAATCTTTCAGGTCGAAAACGATGCATAAATTGTCTATAACTTCTTCAAAACATTTCTTACATGCTTCTTCCTAAAAATTACTAATATCAATGAAAAAAATAAATTTATTCCTCTTGAACAATTATGCTATTTGATATGCTTAATACTTCTATGAATTTTGTTACACCATATTCATATTTTTAGCATTTCAATCATTTTCCATCTATTTATCAAAAACTAACCAGGCAATAGACTATGAATTTTGTCAATTCATCAATATCACGGTTTGTAGCATTATGATTTTTAGCTGGTATGTATACAACAGGCCTCCCATACATATCTCTATGACGGAGGACTCTAGCTTTATTTGCATCTAAATTATTTTTAACAGCAGGTGTTTCTGCTGTCAGCTCTTCCACACCATATTCTTTTCTCCATTTATTCGTTTTGAGAATCGCCTAAAATTTAAATTACATAACCCCTAAAGAGTGATTGTGAACATATTTGTTTACCTTAAAACTATCATCCACAGTTTTGAAAGCTCTTAAGTATCGTTTTAATGAGAAATCATTATGATACTGGTTAGGATCTGCATCTGCTATTAATTTCATTGTACTTTTAAGTTCCTTTAGATCTGCCTCATTAACTGGTTTTACTTGTATTTCAGCCATGATTATATTTTACCAATAAGTAATTAATCAATTTTAATTCATTCAGTAACACTAAACTACTGTTTTAATCTAGCCAATCTATATGGTCAAATTATCTTATCTTTTCACTACACCTACATATCATTGAGATCAAAAATCAATCATCAGTAAGTAAACCCATATTTTATGTAAACTACTAATTATAAAACAATTATTTTCATCTCAGTTTCCAAAATTAAGAAAAGTACAATAATACTTTACTGTTGATATTAAAGGGAAGTCAAATAATTAGGTCATGACTTTTTGACAACCTAAAATTATCAATAATAATTTAAATTTGGCGGTTTAGAAAAAACAGGTTGTCCACCTCATTATCCACCGATAAAGAGGATATACGGAAAAAAATGTAATAATAGAACCCCGATAGGAGTATTCGGTGACCACGATCTGAAATCAGATGTATCCTAACAGCTCATCCGAACAGAACATGGAGGGATCTTCTGAAATCGAAGTCAAGAAGTCAAGTATACATATTTAATATATAACACAGAACAAGATATTTATTTTTATAACATATTGTTTAAATCACGTTTAAATATTATACGGTATTTAAACAATGCTCATAGGAAACACGCTTACGGCGACAGTCAGTTCTGAGCGATCAGTGTTCCTCCATGTAGATTATGCTCTAATTACGCAACTCCAGTTAGAAAAAGTTTAAAAATTGTTTGTTAAAAGTTACAACTTCATTTAAATCGAGAAGAGTTTCTATTTTGTTGAAGTTTCGTCTGTTTGAGAATCACTGCGAGTTGCTTTCGTTTTAGCTTTAATATAGCGAAACGAAACCAGCTGTGCTGATGTGCTCTGATTGAAGGTGAAAAATCGAGCGGAAGAAGAAGTATTTTGAAGGTATTTGTCATTTGTCATCTTGTATCTTCTTTTACTGACAACTGAAAGCTGAATTTAATCTTGTCAAACCAAAAGTATATGTTTTATTTTAGAAGAAAAAATTGAAAATTGTGAGAAATGGATTTTCAAAATAGACCAGGGGGTAAAACGGGAGGTGGTGGTGTCGCATCATGGTCAGAAACAAACAGAGATCGCAGAGAAAGGTTAAGGCAGTTGGCATTAGAAACTATCGATTTACAGAAAGATCCGTATTTTATGAAAAATCATTTAGGTTCTTATGAATGTAAGCTCTGTCTGACACTACATAACAACGAGGGTAGTTACTTGGCCCACACTCAAGGAAAAAAACATCAAGCTAATTTAGCAAGGCGTGCTGCGAAGGAAGCTAAGGATGCTCCCACTCTTTTGCAACCGGAAAAGCCGAGGGTAGAACCAAAAAAGTTTGTGAAAATTGGAAGGCCTGGCTACCGTGTAACAAAACAAAGAGATCCAGAAACAGGCCAGCAAAGTCTGCTATTTCAAATAGATTATCCAGGTACTTTTATTTTCATTGTTTTTATTTTTTAAGGGTTCTTTTTAAACTTACTTCACTAATATTGCATATAAGTTCACTGTCTTAATTCCTTTTCATTGATCTATTTGTAAATTGGTGTAAAAACATACTTATTTGAGTATTAACAAAAGAATCTGATGTATAATTATGTTTCAGAAATAAATGATATGGTTTTGCCCCGTCATCGCTTCATGTCTGCTTATGAACAGAAAATCGAACCTCCAGATCGCAAGTGGCAGTATCTTCTGTTCGCTGCAGAACCATACGAGACGATAGCATTTAAAGTGCCAAGCAGAGAGGTAGAGAAAACTGACAACAAATTTTGGACCCATTGGAACAAGGATACTAAGCAATTTTTCTTACAATTTGCATTCAAGAATGAAAACAAGAGGACAGCAAATACTGTAGTCCAGAGACATGCGCCTTTAATTGGAGGCGTTCCGCCTCCACCAATGTTACCTGTTCCGCCACCACCGAGGCCACCTATGTTTAACCCCATACCTCCACCACCACCGCTAATGAGGGCCGTGTTGCCCGTACCTCCTCCTCATTAATATTAAATAGTGAAATGTCGTGTAACTTTTGTTTTCATAATGAAAAATAAAGCATTTTTATACGTAGTTTAAAAATAAATAAATCTTGTGGAATAAGTCTTTATGAAACCTGTTAAGTAAAAACAGAAACTTGTAAACAGAATTTTAAGGGGGAAATAATGCCCATAGTTTTTTCAGATTTTACAGAAATTGTATAGTTGACCAAATATAAGAAATAAAGCTCGTATGACATATATCTATAAATACCGAGCCTTCATAAATGATTACAAGCCACGTGACCAGTAAATTTTTTTGTAATAGTATTTTTATTTCCTTCATGATGGCAATTAATTTTCGGTAAAATTAAATAAATAAGATTAAAATTGCATTAAAGCACAACATTATGTTTTACTGACTGTGATGATTGGTGTAATGTTTTATAAGATTTTATTGAATAAATCAGCAATCACATTATTTCGAGTAACATTTCATCACTGTTCATTGTAAACAAATCATTATTATTGGTGATGCCAAAATTTAGGGATTTTTCGTTGTCACTACCAACCCCGCAATGTTGGTTGCCTAAGCCTGGTGGTCACATGGCTTGTAAACGATTATGAAGGCTCTGTACTTTGTGTAGTACATTTATTAGTTTTTTAGTTGCTTCTATTTCCTGAACATGCTTGATAAAACTTGAAAAAACTGTATTGTTGTAGAGTTTCAGTTTGTTTAGCCAACAGATTCTTTAAGTATATTTTGCTGAAAAATGTTTTAACAAGAATCAGTGTTGCAGAAAAATAATTGGTAATAATAAGATATTGGTTTATTATTAAAAAACAACATCATGCCTGAACATTGTTTTGAACATTTGTACATTCCATCGGTTTACAAAATAAGTATTTAATGTAGCAAATTTGAATGGATTATCTTAAGAAACGTGTAAAATCAAATTTAGACTTTATCATCTTTTACCGCACAAATTAAATGTTTGCGAACTATTGTTGATATGATTTTTAAATCTTGATTTTTCTTGATCTTATTATTTTAATAGAAAAAATCACATGTAGAATTTTATTGGTAAAATATTGTATTACATACAGCAGTGCTTACAAATACATTCATTTTCGCAGAATCATTTGGAACACCTAACAATAAATATCCTATTTCTTTTTTGATTGCCCAAACAAAAACATGATGCCAATAGTTAGTTGGGGAAAACTGTTTTACAAGCAGACCAAACACAGAGCTAATACAAATAACATTTCGAATTTTAGTTCAATGTTTTTACTATTAAGAGTGGTGACGATTCACGATCACGAATATTAAAATAATTGTCGTCATATTTTAATAATGAAGATATATAGAGAACTTCAGTGATGAAAATATTTCGAATGAAATTTGTGAAATAAAAAATTAAAATAGGGGTGGCCGATTTTGAAAAGGATCGCACTTTGCAAAATATACATATATTTTCAACTAATAGATCAAATCAGATACTTTTAAGTATCAGTTACTTATGAAAAAATTATTTGTGAAACATTTTCCATCTCAGGGTCGGCTACTCTTATTTTAACTTTATTTGGCAAGTTTAGTCTGAAATTTTTTCGTCACTTTTCTCTAAACAACAATATGGGTCCCACGCTTCATTATCAGTTTAATATTCGCGAATAGTCACTGATTAAGACTAAGTGACAAAAGTCAAATATGAGTTAAAACCATAAATAAATTAATGTTTTCATATTTCATATTCCAGAAAACCACAGCTTCTTAATAGTTTATATCTGGAATTAAGCAGCATATAAATTGGTTGTTATTTGTGTCAATTTATTGTTTCAAGAAGACGATAACAAACACGAATTTTGAAAATTACCGGAATTGAAGCAAATAAATAGCAACATATTTAATTCAACTGTATTTTGAAACTTCTGGTTTGTGCCAAGAAACAGTTTTTTAGGATATCTACAATATGACATTTTATAAATATCTCTAGTGTCCTGTATCTCGAAAACTAATAACATATTATGTTGATAGGAACTTTTATCCTTAAAATAGCCACCTTTACTGTCGGAAAATCGATATCGAAGTACATATTTTAAAGAACACTCGGTTTACTTATATGCTGACTATGAATTTATTTTTAATTAAATTATTTACTGCGTTAATTTATAATTTGTATATATAATATTCTACTAGGGATTTATTTGTTTCAAGCTGTATTGTTTAAAAAATAAAAAATTAATCGTTTTGAGGAAAATTCAAAATTGCTTTTAGTTTATCTTTCAGTTTTATAGGCACGTATAAGCTATTATAGATGAAACATATCTAAATATTTTATATAACTTACTGTTCTTTAAAATATTTACAACATAAAAACTTTTGTTAACGGTAATATCCGCTTCAAAATTTTTGCTAGATGCTATATACCACGAAAGTATCTTGCCTACAAAATATGTCAGTAGGTACCTACCTACTGTTAAGTATATTCAGAAAGAAGTACCTAAATCTTTTGAAATTTAAAAAAAATTCTTAATCTTCATTGAAAGACATATAATATATTCTACTATTAGGTCCCATCGCGTTTTTACACTTTTTTAAAAGTAATAATAAAGTCAAACAATATTCTTCGACACAAAGAATCTATGTATGCAAAAAATATCCTCAGAAACAAGATTGTTAACTGGTGATATTGCGGGAAACAACAATTCTATGGGTTATAAGTAGTATGAATATAACATTCTTATTATGTATTTTATGTCCAATTAACCCCTGCGTGTAAAGTACTTTTTCCAAAATATATTGTATAAACAAAATTGGAAAGGTAGGTAATTATTAGTATTTAATTTTTAAACTAAAGAAGTCCTATATAGATATTAAAAGAATTACATGGTGTCTTAACAAAATAGCGATTTTTACTTTTTCTCTGTATTGCAGAAAGTTACTTCCGTTCAAAGTTACTGTAATAAACTATTTCCGGCCTCTAACGAATATAATAATAGGAATTTGACTCTTAGGTGTTTACACCAAAATGGTTTAGTTGCTAAAATTGCTCCTCTGCCCTCAAATCCACTTCACAGGTAAGTGTCATTTTACAAATCAATTTCTATCCTCTTATGTTTTTGTTGTTTTAGGTAGATGCCGAAATAGGTCCACTCAAAATATTGGTACTCAAAGCTAAGCAATTAGACGTGTTGTAAATACCATGATTATGGGCTTTCCCTTCCAAAAAATATTTATATTTTTTTTAAGCTTCTCTCAGCTCAGGCCATGTTTTCTGGTACTCAGTCAAGAGTTTGGTTCTAATTTTGTGCAATTAAATTAACTAATATGTATTTGACAATGATATTTTGAGAGTAAAATAAATAATAAATATGGAACTATAATAAGTGAAATTAATAGATAAACAACTAAAAATAAAGAACGAAGAAATATTTCGACAAAGAATAACATAATAGCGCACTTTGTTGTGATTTATTCTGAAATTGCGATATTTTTAAAAGTAACACACACATATTATAGACTTTTTTGAAAGGAGGTAAATGCGTTTTTAGTATTACTGAAACGAAGAACTTCATATTTTTAACATAAACGGACTTTATTCATAAATTTTCGCCATGATAGTGATGTCACATTTTATTCTGTTCTTTATTAAGATATCTATGAATTCAATCATTAAAAATAGATATCGTTCAAGCTATAAATTCTACGGCAAAAATTAAGAAAAAAAAACTATTACTACCTGATTTCATTAATTGAATTTTTAAATCAAGTTTTAAACTAAGATCATTACCTAAAACGATAAAATTATTAAGCATTCTAAGAAACCTGATTTACCAATTAAACTGTGAAATTAAAATAATTAAATAATAATATAAAAAATGTATACGTATGTTGCAGACAGTGGCGTATCATTCAGGAATATCCATCTGGGACAAACCTACCCAATTTAGAGAATCCTTAAAAAAATTATCAAACGCAAAGAATATTTTCCCTTTCGTTTTTTGACTCGTTTTTGAATTTTATTTAAGTACCTACCTATTTCTAACTGTAGATATTTGTTGGCACCCCTCGTACAATAGTCCTCCATCGCCATTTCTCGTGTGAAAGTAATATGTAATCTTTAATAAATTCTGCACTAAATCTTGTTTGATCTTCCCAAAAAATAAACTGCGTCTAACGTATGACTGTTAGTCACGCTAGTATTTTGATATTGCCTACACAATTAATTACAGATCGTTTACAACGTTTCTGTATTTTTGTAAACTAACCGAGATAGTTATGGACTTGTTAACATCACAATTAATTATATGATTCACACCTGTAAGGGAGGTGGTAGACATGTATTAATTTAGATCCGTTAGAAACGTATACAGTGCGTATAATGGATACCCGCAGTTTGTTTATTCATTATAGATTTTGCGTCACTAAATCAGTCTGTTACTTAATAAGATCAAAGCTGAGTGGCATCTGGCATAGTTTTTTTATTGTATAGAAAATAAGAAACTGAAACTTATTTGGAAAGTAAAAATGGAATAATTATTTAAAATCCCCAGAAAACAATGCAATTATCTAAGCACCTGCGCCTCAGTTTCAATTACATATTAGTGCCTAAGATACTGATACATGTTCTTTAAAACGTTTAAAAAAAATAGATGTCAAGTCGTGTGAGTTGAGGGTTGAGGGTGTCACTCTACATCTAATGATATTGTGAAAAATAACTACCCTGTAGACTACAAACCCTTGCAGCTTCGAATTCGAATTCTACCACATAATCAGCTAAAATAATTCGTCGGTAAGATCATCGGATATAGAGAGGTTTCGAACTAATTAATTCTCATCATCAGGATGTCACAAGTTAAAATATACCTACAGAGCTTTTCATAAATGGCAACTCCGACATATTTTGGATTTTTGTGAAGTGATTTCTTGTACGCTTTGCACGGAAAGTAAAGGAAACGTAGGCAGAATCCAGAACAAACTATAAGGTAAATTAAAAAAATTAAAAAAATTAAATATACAATTTATTTAACTAAATAAACAAGACGGGTAAGATAAATAGTCCTGGAGTTGTATACGTCTTGATAAATGTATAAACTTAGATATTTTTAAAATCCTTAAGGTGGGACTTTCTCAATAACAAAATTGTTTTACCTTTAAAACTCGAAAATGACGTTAATGAAAGTATACGACTTACCAATAACATGCATGTCATTTAGAGAGTTATAAAATATTCTATACCTAATTATGACATGGAGAATTTCATAATCTCATCAATATGAGAAAGTTATTTTGAAATAAATACCCGCGTAATAAATATACCATATTTACTACTTATTAATCATGAAATGAATGAAGAAAGTGCTTAAAATAAGAAATTATGAACAATACCTGATATGTAAAGTTGCGTGGCTATTTTTTTCGTTTTTGGTCTTAATGTTTTGAGTAAAAAAAGTTGTTACTAATAGAGTCTTGTTTGATCGGAAAATTATCGATATTTTCTTGAAGCATTAATTAATAAATTTATAAGAATTTGAAAGTATACAGCCTAATACCTTTAAGAAATTTTCGTAGCTTAGTTGATATAGAAGCAGATTCTCTCACAGTATTTAATTCACGAATTACACATAGGTACCTACATCTAATCTAAGGTTTTATTTTATACTAAATATGCTTCATTTATATGGCAAAGAGCACCAAAGGTGGCAAAAAAACACAATTTTCAAATACTTCGTATGTTTTAACAGAAGTTATATACAAGATAGACACTTTTTATTAGTTTTCTCTCTCTAGGGGACAGACAAAAAGTAGTTATATTGAAGAAAAATTGAACAAATAATTAAAATTAAGCTAAATAAAAAACTTAAAAATAAATCCAATAATATCAAGTGTTATCTGTAATTTAAACTACATATAATGATTCTAAATCGATTGCCAAAAACAGCATCATTTAAGCATGCAGTATTCGTCGCCTATTTTTATCAAAAACTTAACGTAACTTTCTAATGTTGTTGACCTCATGGGTAACGGTGTTTTTTGAGAATAATTTTAGAACAATATTTCATAATTTCTTTAAGAAAACTTATAAAGGTGACAATTACTCATCTTTTTGGATTAATTAGAAATATTCATGATCCCACTTTTCATCGCTTATACAGCGTGTCCCACTGGGAACTGCATCGATCAATATCTAGGAAAGTACTGCTTCGTAATATTTGAAAATTTGGCAACACAAGTAAAATATCTAGAACTCTTCAGTACTTCCGGTTATACCGGAAGGCGACACCAACTTCGTTATTTTAAATGGAGCACCCTATATATTATTGCATTTTCGTATTCTACGTGAAATTTGAGGGTCATTTTATTAAATATTCCGTATACCTAGAAGTTATATATTTTGAAATATTAATTTAAAAAAAAAAATTTTGATAAATTCACACAGCTATAACTTTGTTAACTTAAAAGGAACACCCTGTCGTATACAGATGGGAATTTCCTTTCAAGCCATATAATCATTGTTATGGTTGCCGTTATTACTTTTGGAGATATTTTCTAATTTTTGGACAGTTTTTCTCGTATCAGGTTGTCAAATTGGCCATGACCAGAAACATTCCAAAAATAATTGAAATAACATGACATTTGTCAAGTTAGTTGTCAAATTATTGTTGTGTCTAAATAGTTTTTGCCAAAAATTTAAAAAAAAATGCCTGGGGATCGTTTAAATTAAACTACAATATTATTCTAATTTGTTTGTTATTTATGGAAAATGCGACAAAGTAATTTCAAGAACATGTAGAGAATCTGCTGCTTTTTTCAATAATAACAAACAAATTAAAATAATCCTCATAAGTATAATTTAAACGATCCCCAGGCATTTTATTTAAATTTTCGGCAAAAACTATTACAGACATAGCAATAATTTGACTAACTTGACAAATGTCAAGTTACTTTAATTGTTTTGGAGTGTTTCTGATCATGGCCAATCTGACAACAGGTCTGATACCAGAAAAACTGTCCAAACAATAGAAAATTGCAAATATATCTAAAAGTAGTAACGTCAACCCTAACAATACTTATATGGCTTGAAGGGAAATTTCAATCTGCATACGACAGAGTAAAAAAATACAGGATGTTCCATTTACGTTAAAAAAGTCATAGCTGTTTGAACTTATCAAAATGTAACAGCAAAAATGAAACACCTAGTATTAAAAGTTTTAATTTGTGGGTATACCATAATTTAGCGTTATCTATGCCCTTTGCAGGTACCAAAAATCCGCTTGATATCCCGCTCCAGAAAAGAGTTACTAGCATCTCCGCGGACCCTTGCAACTGTCAAATTTTTCCTTTAAAAATCAATATCACAAAATTTAAAATTCCTAGGTATGAGGAATATTTAATAAAGTGACCCTCAAATTTCACGTAGAATACGAAAATGCAATAATATATAGGGTGTCCCATTTAAAATAACGAAGTTGGTGTCGATTTCCGATATAACCAGAAGTGCTACGGAGTTCTAGATATTTTGGTTGTGTTCGCCCCAGATTACTATGTTGCCAAATTTTCAAAATTTTCGGAGCAGTACTTTCCTAGATATCGATCGACGCAGTTCCCGATTGGACACCCTCTATGCCTGTCAATACCTATCTTTGTATGAAAGCCATAATTAAATTGCGTATTATAACTAGAATTTTCTGGAGCATGTAAAAACAAGTATCAAGACAGTATTGGAGCAACAATAAATTTCAAATAAAGCGTAGCTTCTGATGGATTATAAATATTTATAATTCGGTGTTTAGTCGACATATATATGAAAACACTGCAGTAACCTAGTTTTCTAAGAAGCCGATAATTATGTTTCCTCGGGCAGTTAATTACGTTTTCATAAAAAATTGGTTTTAAATAAATTCAAATTATTTTGTATATTGAAATAAATTAGTTTAGCTAAAGTTTTATTATGTTTTATGAAACATAAAACAAGAAAGTAATAGTCTACCACAGGTATTGATCCAACTAGTGAACGAATAAACTAAATTGTAACTTACAATTAGAATACCTTGTATATTTTTTTAGAAAAATTGGATATTAGCAGGTTTTTCACTAACGGTAAAAAAGATATGGCCAAAAAAGTGTGCAGTACATAACTACATTCTAAAATTTACACTGAAACTAACTTGTACATGTGTTGTACAGAGCCTTTGTTTGGAATAGTACTTAATTTGATTTCCTTGGCAACAAAATTAAGGATTATTAAAACAATAAGATCAGGATTACATTAAAACATAACTTCACCGGCTGTGATTGGTGCAATTTTTCACGAGATTCTATTCAACAAAACAGCAGTAAGATTTAGGGATTTTTAGCTGAGAGTACCAGTCGTACAACGTTGAGTTGCCTACACTCGGTGATCACGTGGTTTGTAAACATTTATTAAGGGTCTGTACTATTTACACTATTTATTTTGCAAGTAAGTATAAAAGTTCCGTTACCTAGTTATATTTAGGCAGAAGCATTCTTTATCCAAAGAAGTTAGTCTCAGTAAAAAACAGTTACCTGATTTTTTAAATAAAATGTCATATGTAAAATATTTAAACATTATACTTAAATGGAAAATATTTATTTCCCAGAAAGTTTTTTAAATCAATTTTTTCGAAGAAATGTAATAATCACAAATGTGTTTGGTGCAATAGTGATTCATTTGTTTAGGTTCTTTTTTTTTTCAGGTAAATCCTTGTTCAATTTCTCAAGAGAATGGCATTTATACAAGGTAAGCAAATTTTCCCAAATCTCAACTGAGAGTTGAAATGTTAACTGATATTCGCCTAAGTTATGCACGATGTGGGCAGATTTTTTTTAACGGACAACTAAAATACCTATCTGACAGGATATTGTTGTATCCAATGTTTTATACCTATTATAAAATTTGTATACGTTTATTATATTGCGCCAGCTTTGAGCTTGTTACTGGTTAAAAATCGCACGGTTCGAAGTTATTGTTTTGTAGACACGTTATAATAAGTAAGAAATTTAAGAAGCTGAATGACTATCATGTAAATAATTATGCTGTCTCATCTTGTACGAAGGAGTAGAAGGTAGCGGTGATTTCACGAAATTCCCGGAAAATATTATTAATTCATAAAGTTCGCAATTGCCCACTGATAAAAACGGATCTCGGGTGAATCAGAGTTCCAGCTAATGTTTTTCTCGCGTTGCGAAAAATTCTTGGCGTGCCTTTAGGTAAAAATGGCGTTTCGAATCCGCCATTTCACAGAAAACAGCAACCAATCCAGCCGCCAGAAGATACACCCAATCCAATAAGGTAATGATTTAACGGACAGCACGTTACAGATGCAAATAATAAAGTAATAATTATAAAAAAGTAGACCAGACTACTTCTCGCCATATTAGCGACGAAATAACCTCTCGGCTAATAGATCTAGTGACGAGAGAAGTGTTCAGAAGTCCGCACTTGCAGCGTACACCGCGTCGGTTATCTAGTGAAATAGCCAGAAATTGTGAAACCATTTCGTCTGGGAGCAAGAAACACACTCCGTCGAAGACGGCATATAGTCTGGTCCAGTCCATGACAAAGCACTGCTACCAACAGTTCGCGGCAACAATTAACATTAACACAAACGTGTAAACTGTGACTTTACTAATATTGCTAATAAAAACGTCTCTAGGCGTAGGTGGTCGTTTCCTAATTTAAGTTCATTCCGTTCGCTCGGCTCCTGCTTGAGAATTTTTCACATATAGTGTTTAGTGTGCTATGCACTTGATAAGTGTTGGTGTAAGTGCGTACTCGGTGGTAGTATCCTGCTGCTTGGAATTCTGCCCGCAGGAGTTTTCCTGCAATGTAGCCGCAGGACTGTGGTACGCGCCCTGCTGCTCGACTAGGAGCTAGACTCTTCCCTTTCCGGACGATTTTTCTGCCCATCTGGATTTCCGCAAAGGTAATTAAAACCTGATTTCAAAAAATTGTTGTGCGGTGAATCGGTACACATATTTTCTGTAATTAATAATATTCCGTTGCACGACTGTCGAAGATATACTAGTTCCCGTGGATTTAATTCAATGACAAAAATATAAATCTCGGAGACATGAACTAAAGGAGCTAATAATTAATAAAAAAGTTAATCCTGTACCTATTTTACTGCAACTTTTATTTGAAAATTCGTATACAGTGTGAAACAGATATAATGTTGGATCCTTGAAAATAAATAATGTTTTTTGAATGTACCACTTTCTCGTGATGATACAGGATGATAAAAATAATCTATTAGTTTTTTTATTTTCCAAACTAATGGAGATTTTCTAACAAAAATTAGTACACATCATACTTGAATAAGTTGCCTTAATATGTGGTAATATCAAGTCTCTAAATAACCAATGGCGGATATAGCTTTAATTAATGTAGTAAAAAAAATGACGGCATATACTTACAAGTTAAAATGATTAGCATTTTACCATGAGGCTTTTTTTCCTTGATATTTTGGACATCTATCAGAGTTTTGCTTAGCGTCAAAATACAGCTTAGTGAACCATGTAATTTTTTTAAAATTCGTGCTAATCCTAATAAAAACAGCAAATTTTAGATTTTTGGAAAAGTTTGCTCTTTGCAAATTGGATCATTCTGTTTAGAAGACGGAGTTCATATATTACTTTTCCGTGCTTTTTTCAAAATTCAAAATCTGAATAAATTTCAACACAAATTTTTAAAATCCCGTGAATAAACTCTTACTTATTATTTTTTTCTTTATAAAAATGCACTACACGTTTTCTTGCACGTAACTTTTTAATTCAGTTTTTTCTTTTCCTTTTATAGTAAAAATGAAGGTATTTTAACACTACGACTATAATACCTAATTTTTATAAACCAATCATTGCAACGGTTAAATAGAACTAAACCAACTTCACTAGATCGACAGATTCTCGTAAACAAACGCAAGTGTATCCCCAAGAAATTAAAAATTTGAAGCAAATAACAATTAAACAGTCACAATCTATTTATACATACATGTGATAACTTATAAAGCAAATAATTTCATATCTCTATTTTACTAGAGCTGCATTTCGTACATTTTATTTGTGTATTTATTAAATTCTGCTCTTCGCTTGCTTTATTTTCATAGCTCACTAATTGTCAGTCACATTGACATTGTCACTAATCAATGCCAATTGTTTGTGGTAATAAAATAACTTAAAAATGGGTATATCACGCGCTCAAATTGCATATTCCTATGATCACTTAATTTAAACGAAAAAATTACTACGAGTTCTACGAAATTTTTTCACCTTGTATATTCTTGCGAAATATTTAATTACACTGAAAGACCTGTCAGTAAAGAGTAGAAAATGGGATTAAATTAATTAAAATAAATGTACAAATATTAAAAAACTCACTAAACAAATAATCATTATGTCAAATTATTCTTTTACGATTGTATAAAATTGACCAATTAACACATTTTGCACAGTAAGAGACAGAGACAGAGAATAGAGGCAGTCCAAACTTCCGTTAAGTAATATTTACTTATTTTAACAAATAATTAATGGAAATTTAACGTATTTTGTTGAAATTTATAGTGGAATAAGCATAAATTTCAAGATTATAAAAAGATATTGTTATTAAAAAGAAATATATCTTTACGCCTGAGTAGACGTCTAACGTCTAAAACATTATTAAACAAAATTTTAGTTATTTTATGGATATATTAAATGTTGCTGTTAAAAAGTGTTGAATTTAATTTAGATATTATTTTTGTAGGAAATATATTTTATTTGATAAAGATATTTTATAACACTTATGAGTTACTTCTTATGGTACAAATGTAGAATTTATGAATAAAAAAATATCTATACAATTCTTTTGAAGGGAATTATCCAGGTGTAAAGAAATAAATTAAGAGTAACGAGCAAATGTTTGAATTGATGAACTCCAAAAAGTCGAAAATAATGACATCAACCAAGTAGGTAGTAATATAGATTTCATAACCTGTACCTATGTTTGATACTAACATTTCAAGGAAAGGAAAGAAATTGGAGGATGTGATGATACAAAACAAGAACATTAGATTACATTGTAGGTACAGGTTGTAAATGAAGTAAAATTAAAAGACATACTTATCTATGTAGCATTTTATTTAAAGAAGGCACATAATTATGTACGACAAAAGTGATTCAGAATATTTAGAACTTGCGCTGATTGTCAGTGGAGAAATCTGCAGCCTTTTACATTCTCCATCTTACATTTACTCCCACATTTCTGAAATTTAACCGCATACAATGCAATAACATTAGAATGAATATTAGAAAAGAATTTATGGGTGGATTGATTGTTATTCCTCTGTCACGACATGAATAATATGTGATTTACATGGGCGGGATTTGAATTTTCATTGAGGGGGAGATTGGAAGCCACGTGGATTGCAGCGTAAGGTACAGTCTTTGTGTTAAACTTAAAAGTTTTCTATCTAGGCTTTAAAGGAGTGTACATTTTCTTCAGTCGATTTTGTGTGATGCTAAACCTTCAGCATAAAGCTTTAAGTCAAATAAAATGGTGGAAAATGGCCTGTTACTCCAGATACAAATCTAATTGAACTGACTATAAAATTCGTGTCACTGAACGCCGCATCTTAATTCGATTTTTTATCTACCACAAAATGTTTCTTGGACAAGTTAATATTTACACCATTTTTATTAGCATTTTTTAATCTACACCAACCAGATACCACTTTTTCTCGAGATTAACCAAGTTTTATTTTTGGTATAGTCCATCTAAAAATGCTTAAGAGTTGATTGGCCTTTGATTTTATTCGATTCATCGCTAAGCTGAATTCAGATAATGCAGTCACTTGCCAAATATTTATCAAAAGTAGACAAATGACTTATCGTGCTGATGCTACAGTCGAAAGAAAGCACGTTTCCATTTGCACAAATATTCGTTGAAGCTATTTATATTTGTATGTGAAGATGTGCTTATATTTCAGTTCTTGTGTATAATACTACTCGTTTTAATAAAGTTATGTAAGTAGATTTCAGGGACCTTCCATTATGTCCGATTCTTAATGAAATGCTCTGTACAGAAACCATAAAAACAACTTAAAAACATTGCGATAACTTTACATACAGGTAGCTTACAGGGATCCTTAGTCAAACCACTCTTTTATTGTAGGTTTTTGCAATCAGCAATTGAAAGTGCAAATAAACAACAGTTATCTAAAATGTACCCAACTTAATATCTAACTACTAATCGCTGCCTTCATATTTATTGTTCCTCTACTGAAAATACTAATACTTGGAACTGATATTGTATATGCACTTGCTCTGTAATCAATTCACTTAAAAGCGTAAATATTTGTTAGAGACCATTTATCAACTTTGATCTCGTTTATTTGGTTTTCTAAAAATACAATTTTTAGTTCGGTACATAAACAGAGCCCATCGTTGTCAAACAAGTAATCCGTTTCGCAGTAGTAAAAGTTTGGGTACCAACAAACACTCGGGGGCACTTTTCGGGTAGATATGGGTAACAGAAACAGATCACCACCTATGTAATGCGTAGAAGTGCAAAAATATCCCGGGTATATAATCGAAAATTTATAAAAAGTAAAGCGCGCGCAAAAGAGTCGGCAATTATATTTGGCCGAGCTTGTATTCACCTTTTGTATACATTTATTTGTGAATGTGCCTCAAATAAATTCCAATCACTGTGGTCAGCATACGCAAATGCAAGGTCATGGGTAGTCGAATTTTTGTGATACTGGATGCAATTTCCAAATTTAAATTAAAAAAAGTAAACCTGTTAGTTTTATATTTTTAATTAATAACATTTTATTCGTGGAACTTAATTCATTAATAATAGGAAGTATTCCTCCTTCCAAGAATGAATAATACAAAACTGAAGTATTATTTTATTCAATATTTGCTTTTTTCCCTATCACTGTGTTAAAAAAAAATCTCGTTCAGAATATAATCAACCTGGATTCAGTCTAAAGATGTACCATTTTGAGGAACGTACGATTTTCTTCTAAAAACATCTGTATAGAATAGAGAATAGAGTAGAGAATCTAAAAAATAATTTAATATTTGATTATAAAAATTCGGAATAAAACTTCTGCACTAAAATTATGTAGGTACATCGTAAATTGATCTTAGAATATTTACATTTTAAATGTTTGGATATATCGAAGGGAGTTTAAGGCATTTTAGACAAGGAAAATAAGCTATATAGGAAATGACCATTTCGCGACTTTTTGTTTCGGCAAGCTGAATTTATCACTGTAGATGCTAAATATTATGTACAATAACTGTAACTCCGTTGTTTTTCAACGAATCTTGACGATTTTTTTTTAACTTAAAGGTCTTTTCATAAGCTTTCCGAATATGCAATAATATATAACTATATCACGCTCGTGCGTCGTATATTTCATTTTGCAACTAAAGCTAGAAAATAAAAAATATTTCCAGGTTGCAAATTTGAAATTAAAAAAAAAAAAATGTAGATTTCAATGTATTATTATGAAAGCTACCATGAAAAAAATCAGTGCGATTGTGGAAGATCCTCGGGATCGTCCAGAGTAATAATTAGTTAATTTGTTTATAAGGCCATAACTTGTAAACTATTCAACTTACCGATTCCAGATTTCGTGTGAGTTATTAGACAGTGATAAGGAATAAGAGGATGCGATCCCAAAACGTTCTGGTAATAATAAATGTTTAATTCAAAAGTCATAAATAAACTTCTTCTGTTTATAACTTTTGATCTAATCAATATTTTTTGACGCTCGAGAGCTAGTTTTGTATCCTTTTGAAGACGAAAAGAAAGTACCTTACTGTTTTCTCGTGAAAATGAACGGAAAACTGTGGAAACTAATATGTTATTGTACATAACATTTAGCATCTATAGTGATAAATTCAGCTTGCCGAAACAAACAGTTGCGTCAAACTCTAT